AGACGGAACGCCTAGCGCTAGCGCGCACGTTTCCTGTCGCGCGTTACCCTGTCGAGGAAGCTGGACGATGGCTCTTTCTGGACTTGATGCCACGCCGGGTAGTCGGCCGCAGCCATGAACTTCAACTCGAAAATTGTGATGATGCCTCGTTGAATTGCCTAACATGTGAGAAGAACTGGTGTTCCTTAGGTGTTCTCAGGTGTTCCAGTTCTCAGGTGACGTCCGTGCAGATTTTGATTGCAGGGCAAACCTAACGAACACGAGTTCCTCGTGCGGCTAGTCTGGCGAGATCCGATCGGCGAGTGATGACACTGGACAATCGATGTGAGCAGTTCGTGAACAGATCGTGAACGACGTGATCTAGAACGTCCAAGGCAGATTGCACGTGTTTTGAGTTCGCTGGCTCAGATGGGGACGGGAAGTTTGAAAACGTCCAAACTTTGTTTTAGGGCAGGCTATAGAGGTTTCGTTCGTGCCATGGAACCTTCCGGGGGAGGGACTAAGATCCGGCGTACTCGGTGGACTAAGCGGCCCGACTATGTTGTACGAGATACGCTGATGCTGCTAGTTTTCGGCCGCATGCTTTGCCAGCCAACGTTTGTATCTGCAATATTTCCATTAGACTGCTCTGTTTCTTCATCAACCAATAAAACGGGGGCGTTGTGGCGGAGTGGTTATCGCGCAAGACTAGAAATCTTGTTCCTTCGGGAGCGTCAGTTCGAATCTGGCCAACGTCGATCTTTTTGGCCATTGCGTTGCCTTGACAGAGGACTTCGCTTGGTGGAAGCTATCTTTTTTGCTTGGGTCGAGTAGTGGTCAGCTACTACTTCTACTACTGCGTCTATTCTAGCCCGCTCTAACCTCAATATGCCAGTCAGCTATACACGCTCAGTTGCATCATTCAGGCGCAAGTGCAGTAAGCAGTTACGTCTTGAACGTAGTAATCAGGAAGTGTCTGTCTCTTTACTGGAAGTCAGATGGAAGAAGAAGTCATCATGTGATAGCGCTTACTGCAGACAGTGTCTAGAGTTGAGAGCGTGGGTACTCCAAAGGACCGCTGGCAACTCACACTACATCGATCTGGACACAGATGCATTGGTAATACCATCTAAGCATGTGCTCACTGCACGTAGCCAGAAACATTTCCAAGTGATACAGTGTTTCGGATCCTCCATCTTCCAGTATCGCACCCAACTGCTGGGTCAACCTGTAGGATCAAACCGTCGTAAAACACATCATCACCACGCCCAGGCCAGGTGCCCTTTGCCTCCGCATACCCATATCACACTCCGCTCTTTCCCCTCAGTCCTGGCCATCACAAACCCCAGCATGGCAATACTTCTTGCACCCGACTTCATACTTCCACTTTCCGGACTTGACGCCCAAGCCTTTCTGTATATAGTACCCGTACCGCGCATACTCTGCCGCATCCTCTCTTCCCTCATCTCCATCTTGACGTTCCTTCTCCCTTCCTTCTTCACCACCCTCTTTGCCAACATTGCTCTTGCTTCCGCCATGCTCTTTCAGTTCTTGCCAAACACCATTCCCACACTGATAAACACAAGTACAGTACTCGGACCCATCATCTTGCTTTACGCATAAAGAGCGATCACCGGTTTGGTCGGCGTACCAGGTGCCGAGTTTGGCGATGGGGATTTCTGGGGTGATAGTGTTAGAATTGGATGTGAGTGTAGAAGTGGAGATGGACATACGATGGTGTTGCATGAGTTCCCAACCACAGTACTTTGTAGCGTTTCCTTCTCTCCTCAAAGTCGATGTTGATGGCGACATCCATGTTGGCGATGAAACAACGCTCGCGATGAGCATGGCGATCATTAACAGTATCATGCCGCAGCAGTGACTTCCCGAAGTTCGCGTTCCTACCATGGTGTTAACGCGCCAGGAATGACGACGGCTATCTTTCGGCGGTATGTAGGTCCTTCGAGGATCCTGCAGGAGGAAGATCGGAGTGTCAGGAAATTACAGTAATGTCGAATTACTTTTGACTTTGGCATCAACGCTCGTGGTACCGTACACGTGGCTAGCCGCAGACCGTGCCTCGAAGCTACAGCAGACGGAGTGTTTGTGCGTTGACGCGCTATGGCGTTGGTGATACAAACGTCATGTCAAATGTCACAATCAAAACAATCGCGATCGTCACACAAACACGGCAAAGACGGCCAACACCAAAGTTTATCGTGACCTCGTTGACAATTCGTAAGATAAGCAAAACGCCTCGCTATGCAGTATGGGTATCGAGTGTGAATAACAAACGCCGTAAGGAAACTAGACCCAAGCCAAACTCCAGAGCGCGGGCATGTTGGGCCAGCGCTCTTGCCAGGTAGCGAGTATGTCAGGGACGCGCTCGTCAAAGCCAGATCGAGCAGCTCCGCCACCGGATTGCCACCCGCTATCGCCATGTTGTTCTCTCTCCTTGGCGGCGGCCTCGTTCAGGCTGAGCGCAAGGTCGAGGATAGCTTTGCCGCCAACGAGGGCTTCTTCGTGGTTATCCCTGATGTCAACGTTGAAGACGTGGACAGGACGATTGAGCTTTCCGCCTTTGTTGTGGAGGTCTTCCAGCACAGCATCGAAGCAGCGCTCCTCGCAGGTTATGACAACGTCGACGACACCAGATTCAGTACCCTGCGAGCCTTTGTCTTCAGCGTGGTCCAGACGTGGCTTGCCGGGCACCCAGTCTTGGAAGCGCTCAGGGTAGCCTTTGATGTTCAAGTTGCGACCGAGCATGTTAAGCAGGCCGTTGTGGGTGTAGAGCGCAGTGTTCTGACCGGCGAGCTCATCGTGGATGGCGCGGTAGGTAGTGCTGTTGAAGTTGTAGACGTTGGGCTGCGTGATGGTCGGACCGGGTAGACGGACGAGAGAGCCAGTGCCAAAGCTAATGGTAGGGAGATGGGCTGAGGCAAGCTGAAGATGAGCTTCCATGGAGCTAGCCAAGTTAGCGATTTGATTGGCCTGCGGATCTGCGAATGACATACCGGTTCTGGTTACTCGCACACACAGTGCAGAACTTGAGCTTGAAGCTATCGTCGGGTACCATATTCTGCTCTGCGTGCGCGTCGCTGGCGCCGTCCATGCCCATGGAAGCGGGCTCAGCTGGCGGCGGCGGGGGTGGTGGAGGTGCTGCGGCGGCAGCCTGCTGCCTTGCGCGCAGTCGTGGGTCGGCAGGGGCGTCCATATTCGGCGGGGTCGGGTCGTGGTGCGGGAGGTGTATGGGGCGGTGCGGAGGTGTGATGGGACAGGTGCGGGCGCGTCTGCGGACAGCTCTGCAATTTCTTCACAAACGTTAGTTATGGTTCCACGCAATTATAGACAGCAATCATAACAAGGTTCACGGGAGATCAGAATTTTCAGCGTTAATTGTGAGTCCTCAACGACATCCGAGGTAATTCCTGCGAATTGCCTAGGACAGCTCCAATATGGGTTCATCATCTCAAGGGCAGGCACGGGGGCGCACGAAGGGAGGAACTTACAGTATTAAAGGTAGTTACTGCAGCTCATAGTCCCATACATGGAGGGAATGAGCGCAAGCAGAAATGGACAGTGGAATAGTTGTGGTCGTTGTGGGAGGCACGAGGCCTGTGAGGTTGAATCTTTGTCAAGCTCGAGTTCAGGTAATAGTCTGCTTAGCGGCTGACTAAGCTCGGCTGAAAGATTACGCGGGGCGCCGAACACCTAGGCACCTCGAAATGGAGGGGCTGGTCGCGATGCTTCATATCGAGGATCTTGGAACAGACTCTTACCTGTTCCTGAAGCGCTTGGACATAGCATATCTCGTATAGGGAGATCGCCTTCATTAAAAGCGATCGCGGTGACGTGATGCAATTGCGCAAGCATACTGTATACCCAAACGGGACGCCTAGGTAACCCGGCTCAAACGCACCTGTCACACAGCGCCGTGGTCTGGGGAATGTGGTCGGGAGAGGACCATGGCATGGCGAAAGGAATGATATCCGAGTCGACTATGATGTCTTTGCCCTCGTGACAGGACGCGGTGAAGAGGGCCCAAGGAAGATGCTCGCGGGCCTGGCAGCGCATTCGACCAGCGGTGCGCGCGCAGTCCCCATGCAGCTAGGCGATGACCTGAAACGCCTACTAAGGTGAAAGTAGCCTAAGCATGCATTGATGGGGTTTGCAATCATGGAAAGGAAGAGCCGTCAGAACACACACCCCTCGTTGATGCCAGCAAGGCTGTCTCGAGGCCTCTTGACTCGCTACCTCTGCTTGATATCGACAATTGCACAAATACATTTGCATGCCCTGCCCACCGGCGGCGCTGTCAAGTATCCTGAAACACTTTGGCATCTAGCACTCCCCGCCGCCTGGTGCCAAAAATAGAGTTGGCCATCACCACCACGCGCGCGCTGGTCTACACAGCGTCCAGAAGCCGCCAAAGGCCTCGCCATAGTCGCGTCGCCCCTTAGCCGCACTGTTGCCGTTCCCCTCCTGCACGGAACCCTCGAAGCCACCACGTTGGCCCTCGGGTGCGCACCTCATCAACCGTTCACTGGGCGAGTGTTAGCGCCAGGCCTGACCCCCACAACCCCCAGCGAGCGCTTCTCCAGCCGCTCTACAGTGGAAATATCTTCACGCCCGCCGCGCACCTCCCAATCGCCAGGCGCACCTGCACAGCCGACGTGCTGCTTCCAGAAGGCCTGAAGCGCGCCGCCGGGCCATTGGTCACTGTCGCCTCGAAACATCCGACACAAACATCGAGTCACTGCGCCATCTGCCGTCGCCAGTCCACGTCGCGCTGATTCGAACGCTGCTTGTGCGCCTTGTGCGCTGGCCACCTGGAGCCCGTCTCTGCTCCCGCGGCAGTTTCCCGAGTACTGCATACCGCATACCGCATACTGAATACTGAAGACTGTACTGCACTAGCTGCGTCGCATCCTACCCTGCCACCCGCACTGCCCTCGACCGCGCTTCAAAACTCCATATAGTTGCCGCCAACGCCCGAGCTGTCTGTTCACGCAATCTACCGCATGACAGACGCCAATTCCGCACCAGAGACGGCTGCCGACTCGCAGCGGCTGAAGAACATCACAGAAGGCGTGGCTGTCCGCGGATACCACAGCGAGCAAGACATGGCGGCCGATGTCTTATCACCACGGAGCGACCCGGGCGCATCGGCGCAGGTCGGGGTCAATCGCACCTCCCTCCCGCCGCTCGTCACTTCCCCGCCATCCAAGGCGAAGCTCGAGCGCGCCAGCTCCTACATGAACAAGCGACTGTCAACCTTCTCCAACACGTCCAACACACACCAGTCCGTCCGCTCCCGGCCGCAGTCGACTGCCTTCCCCATCTTCCACTCGAGTCTGCCCTACTCGCTCGTCCGCGACTTTGCCTACGACCCGCTGCACCCGCTCTTCTACGGCCCTCTCCCGGAACAACCTTCCGACATCTCGACACCGGCCAGCGAACACAGCCGGAGACTCTCGGACCCGCCACCCGTGGCATGGCGAAGCGACCGAGGCGGTTGGTCCGCGGGGTCCTGGGACGAGAACGGCGAGCAGCTCCCACAAACAGCATACGACGGCGGCCCGCCCTACAGCGAGGACGACGACATCTCCAGTCCGGTGGTCACGAGCCACCATGGCGCGCGCCATAAGAAACACAAGTCCAACATTGTCAATTTCGACCACACTCGTGGGCGGAGAGGATACCCCGAAGAGCAACGGCGGGGCTCGATACTGCCTATGAACGGCGAGAGCAGCCAGTTCGTCAACGATGAGGCTGCAAACGGGCCCGGGGGTGAGTTAATCACATTTCCGCCCGAGTCGTCGCGGCTCGGTGTGCCAGAAGGAGCTTCACGACGAGACTCGCACTTCGCAACCACTCTCCCACAACGGGCATACGCCGAGACCGACGCCGATGTCGAGGGCCCGCCATACGACTCAGACGACGACATGTCAGAGCCCGAGGACTACATCCACGATGACAACCGATTCTCGCGCGACTACCAGTTCACCATCGCATCGCCCGACGAGGAGATGCACGGCAAGGCCGTCGCCCTATTCGACTTCGCACGCGAGAACGACAACGAGCTACCGCTGGTAGAAGGACAGGTGATATTAGTATCATACAGACACGGCCAAGGTTGGCTCGTAGCCCAAGATCCAAAGACTGGCGAGAGCGGGCTTGTCCCCGAGGAATACGTCCGCCTGCTGCGCGACATTGAGGGCGGCTTGAATGGTCTAGTCGGCGCGGTACAACCTCAGCCCGAACTACTGCCACCCGAAGCCAACAACGGGCCTGAGAGTCTCCTCAGCCCCATCTCAGCTGGACCCGAAGCGAAGACGCCCACACAGGCCGATCACCCCCAGAACTACACGCCTGTCATATCCACCTTCTCAACAAGCCACAAAGATCTGGAGAAGTACCCGACAGATAGGCTCGGGACGCCTACTACCACCGAAGGCGGCCCGTTCTCAAGAAGCAAAGACACTGGTGCTATGGAGGGTGTGGAGTCAACGCCCGAACCGCAGTCTCAAGACCAGAAGCCATGAAGATCCTAAGGTCGCTTGCCTTACCATGGGCAAGCCGAAGACAGATTCCACAGCGCTACAGCAAGGGGTGCTGGACCCATGCATGAGCAAGCAGACGAACTTGCCCGCCAGAGCAAAGGGATAGCCGCCCACTCATCTTAGCATGGCTTGGCTGGGTGCATAAAAGAAACAAGATGCTCAACGCGTTCACGACATTCGCTTCAACCCATGTCTTTACCCAGTCTCTTATTTCTTACTCACGAACGCATTCTTCGGCATAGCGGATTCCTTTCTTCTTCACGCGGAGCAGGGCGCCAAAATGGGATGGATGGTGATGGACGGAACGGAATACAACTGTTGTCACGGTAGCAGAGGAAAGGATGCAGGTACTGTTGGAGCGTACCGGTCCCTGAAGAAAGGAAAGGAAGGGGCACCACGATTTCGAAGGTTGTTACATGTTGGACGGTCGGGGCTTACATGGTGTGGACATATCACTATCATTGTAGTTGTACATTTCTCTTTTCTATCTTGACGAAACGACACTCGGCTTGTGATTATTAGAAAGAGAAAGCAAGCCGAGTAATGACGGAGGAGAGTGTGAGATTGAAATTCTCACGTTTGTTTAGCGGTGCGAGGAGCGAGAGGCGGTTTTATATATCAAACCGCTGTCTTCTGTAATACATGACTGTTTCGAGAAATTTATCCCTACCTTTGTGATGTTGAAGTTGACGTTGAGTACCTGAGGCTCGGTATCTTACATGCTGTTGGCACACGAATCTGGAAACAGAACAAAGAACAGTCCTCACATACTTCTATTACGTTCTTACTCAAACTAAACATCGTGAACTATGGAGTTCGTGTCTTCCGGTATCCTTGATAATGTACCTACATGAACTTTCCCATTAAATCATAAACATAGTTATTGATGATACGCCTGTGTACTACTGCAACTAAATTGTACAACACGTCCTTCTCAATTTGCGAAACGCATCACACTGTATACCTTGCAATGAGAAACAAAGTACTGGAAACGAGGACCACCTCAGAGAAGAAAGCGAAGTCTATACCGATGTCACATCATGTCATTTAAGGATTTGATCCCAATACCATATACTATGCCCATACCCCGCCAGCATCAACCAAACGCCCAAACGCACACGCTTCCCAAACTCCGCTCTACCCGAAGTCCCTATCTCAGAACTAACCTAGTATCCCGAAAACAATGAGAAAGAAAGAATACTGTACAAAACTGCCACCCCAAGAACCATCACACTCAAAGCGTAGGCGCCCTCTTCAACCCGCGACAATACCTAACATACAACGCATCAATAAAATGGCTATGCCTAATCCCCGGCGGCCTCGCTGTCTTAAACGTCTCAATCGCATCCTCAACACTATACCCCAACCGCTCAATCAGATAAGACACCAGAAAGAAGCCCGTGCGATTGAACCCATAATGGCAATGTACGCCAATCAACCCCGGCCTTCCTTCCGTACGGATCTTATCGACGAGATCGAAGAAATCGCTGACTTCGGCTGCTTGGGGCGGTTGCTTGGATACAGTGGGGAATTTGTGGTAGGGGATTCCGCCTTCTTCTAGGCCTTTGGGGTCGTACACGGGGTTGTCGTGGGAGATGTCGATTACGGCGCATAGTTTACCCTTCCACTGCCTTGTCAACACCTTGGGTGTGTGTTCCTCGTCCACCTCTCTTAGTGTCTTCATAGCGCGGAAGACGCCGGCGATGGGTGCGGAGACGGGGGGCACGGCTTTCCATTTTGCGAGGTTTTTGACGTCCCACTTGCCCTCTGTGGAGAGGTATGAGAGTTGCCAGGCGAGGGAGAGGCGCGGGTCGATATAGTCGATGAAGAAGGTGTTGATTAGACCGGCGATTATGCGCGAAGTGGAGGGCGCGAAGAGGAGGGAGTGCGCGGCTGGTTTGGGCATTATGGCGGTTTTGACGACGAGGCGGCGGGGGTGCGGGGAGGGCGTGTGGGTGGTGGGGGTAATGGGGGTTATGGTGGCGGAGAGGAGAGGGCCGTCGGTGGTCATTACGCTGCCTTCTGTTGTTTCTGAGGTGGAAGAGACGCTGACGTCCGTGGTGGATATAGCGGTTGATTCGATGGTCTTGGTGTCGTCTTCTAGTCTTGGTAGGTCCTTGACATCGATACCGGAATCTTGGTGCTCTGTACGCCCCGGATTGTCGTTATCAGGGAGGACTGCGGAAGGTACGAATGGAGCTGCTGCAATGGGTAGGCTCGCCATCTCGCTTGGTGGTTGAATGGCGCTAACATCCCTTCCTAGGAACTCGACAATCTGCTTGACATTCGACGCAGGAGTGACAGTGTCAGTCTCACCAGCGGCAAGGAACACCGGAATGTTCAGTCCTTTCCAGACCTCCTTCCCTGGGAGGCCTCCTACCGGCGAGCCACTGGAGTAGTCGGGACACATTCCGCGGGCCATCCTCAACCACACGACACTCCGGCTCTGCTTGTTGAAGCGCAATTGTAGCTTCTTCGTTTCGTCGTCAGAATCCACTCCCGCCATGCGTAGGACGCTCTTGCTGTTGACACCTCCTCTTCTATCCCAACGTCTAATCAGATCGAACAGAGCGGCAGGCATCAATGTGACAGAGCGTAGCTTCTTGACTTCTTCTTCAGTAGGAGGTTCAGCTTTGGGGCAGATGGCAATCAAGCCGCTAACATGCTGCGAAAGGAGGTGTGCATGTGGTGAAGTTGGGGAAGCCAGGAGCGCAGCAAGTGAGCATCCCATGCTGTGGCCAACAAGAACGACAGGCTGTCCATCATTGACTCCACGATGTGCTTCGATAACGACGGCAAGAAGCTGCACCAGGGCTTCAGTGGTGTAGGCGCCCCATGTCTTTGGCTCGAAGCTTGACACACCGCATCCAGGGAGATCAACGGCCAGGCACGGGGCAAGGTTGGAAAGACTGATAAGGATGGGGCTGAATTGAGCGATGGAGCCTCCGAGGCCATGAATGAACACCAGTAGTGGAACCGGACACGGATCCTTGGGGAGTTTGTCCTCTTGATGATGTGGACGGTAAAAGGTCCGGAGCCTGGGGTAGACGAATCCAGTTGAGGGGACAGTGTAGGAGCGAACGGTGGAGTACTTCTTCAATAGGCCTGGGTCTGTACCAGCGGCTTCATCTGCGGAGGATTAGCAAAACAAGGCTAGACGATCGCCAGCTAGGCCACGTGATGAATGACACACGTGTGTCGCTAGGCAGAACACTCACCAGCCGCGGTATCAGATACATGCTGGGTGTTGATGGCGGTTCCCTTGTTTCCCTTACTCCTATACCAGAGTACAGATCCAAACCCACACAAGGCTGTCAGTTGGAGCATGCCCACAAAAGTCAGAGTCAACCGGTCTCCGCTAACTACGAATGGGTTGAGAAGCCGGAGCAGACGGAGGGCGGATTGCTTTATACTGTGCCCATACCAGAGATTAAGGTCTGAAGCGGTCTGTGTCACTGGGTCGCTGGGTGAGGCAGCGAGGGGAGCCTGTGGAAGACGCAACGTGCCATTGCGGAACAAGCCAGGTCGCGAATGAGGCTCCATGTCCCTTTTCGTGCTGGAATGCTGAAAGTATATGCGACGGGGCGTTCGGGTTGCCGGCGTGCGGGACGGTGACGAGCACTGGACGGCAGCCAATGGAATCAGATGGTGCCTCTCGTGCCCAGATCGCTGGAGAGAAAGAGCCGGTGCTGAGAGCGTCTCTTATTGGAAACCTTGCGCACGTTTGGCAACGGCGAATGCGCGGCTACGAAGGATATTCCTTAATCTGGGATCTGAAGGCGCGATCGATATCTGACGAGGATATCATCCTGACACAGCGATATGGAGAGATAAAGCGGCAGCGAGCGGTTTTGCTTTGTGCGATAGTGCTTTGCAACCCCCAACTCGGCAGGGAATGGCGTGGGAGTGTTTGCGATATGGAAATTGCTTAGTAGAGAGGTTTGTGATGGGCGCATGGGCGGTATGACGTTGGGTTGGGCTGCTGCCAGGCTTCGGAAGCGGCGTTTTCACGTCCATCGTGGGAACTTGGCAGGGATGCTGGAGCATTCTTCCAACGGCCTTCCCCTGACCATCATCACTGCGAACTCTATGGAGAACGATACTTAGTCCTCCCATCTCCCCGTCTGATTGAGACCTGCTGCCAATTTGCGCGTGCTTTTCTTGTGATCCGGATCTTCCGGTGCGACGCCAGCCCGATACACCAGCGACGTGTGCTCTTCGTCGTCAGTTCCCCCAGCCCAAGGCAGAATGCAGTACTGTACATGTACTGGGAACGACCCGGTACTCGGGTCAGATCGACTTACCTGGCCGTCGCGGTACGACATGGACAGATGAATACCTAGCCGACATGCAGCCTTGCGTGCTGCGACGACCATGCAAAGCGCCAGGCTCGCAGGATGCATGCGAGAGGCTCCCGCCATTCCCAGCGCGATCTGGCGTCTTTCCAGAAACACCCCGCAAGCGACTTCGCCGTTGCAGACGCCGCATGTGGTCAAGCCGAAGCCACGCCGGTAGTTGCGCCGACACACACCGGATTTGGCCGCGACCAAAGTAAATTCCCCAGACCGAACCACACCACACGGCGCTAGATGGCCTCGAATCGTCATAATCGGCTTTCAATCAGGCCCGTCGCATTGGTCAATGGCAGCGTGTGTCAAACTCACGCGTCTACCATGTTCCCATCCGACGGACCCCTCCATCGTTCCGAACGTTGGCTCCAGCGCAACGTGACGAAGGGCTGTCGACGCCCCACACAGACGTCGCTGCGAGCATTCGGATTGCTCCATCGTCACTAGGGCAGCCGACGAATGTGTAGATCCCTGCTACGGGAGTACCTGGGTATACACGGTAACTGCTAGTTATCTCCGTATCTCTCACGACTTCGTCCATTGACTCAACTTTACCTTTCCTCTCTGACTCCTTCTTGAGCTACCTGTGCCTCCCTCTCTATTCTTCAATTGCACTGACCTCTCTTATCAATC